CTCATATTTTTACTGAAAGTTATAACTTATCAGAAGAAAAACACAACTTGACGTTTAAAAAAGAAAACTCTTTTTCAGAATAAATCCCACTAAAGCTTTAGATTACAATTATTTTGTCAGAAAATATAAATAAAAATCTTTAAATGTCCAAACTATTAATTCCTGGTAAGGCTCCAACTAATAAAAATCACATTTTTGATGATGTCATATTCTAAGGTCACATTATCCCTTCAATGATACAAATATCTGAATTTGTTGCTCAGTTATCTGATTATAGCTGGTGTCTGTGTTATCAGAAATGAACTGATTGTCCATTACTAGGACTTTTTGTTATGAAAAAGTTATTTTTAATTTAAAAAAACATCTCCACTTTGATCAGGAGCCTGATTTCTACATTCTAAAGAGCCATTTCTTCCTTTTTCTTAATAAATAACACATCCAAAGTCACAAACACGCCTGAAATTTGAAATAAACTCCACTCCTTATTACATAAAGACTATGAATCCATTTACAAGTTAAAACTACATTGTGATGTTGAAGAACTACAAAATGTTGATATTTATTAATAGTTTGCATGTTAGGACAAGAGAAAAAGACTAAATTTAATAAAAAGGACAAATGCTAATTATTTAAAATGAACTCAAACCTGGTAAAAAATGTTAATTTTCTGATTTCAGACAAAGCTGGTGCTGTGTTAGAGGAAGTTGGAGTAATGAAGTGGCTAACAGGCTAATGTTAGCACAGACTGGTCAGTACTTTCTGCTCCTTATATTATTAATATTCTGTCACAGATGTTTTACTCACATATTGCATACAACTGAAATGGAAAACCTGAAATGTTTTTAATATAAACATGRTTTATTTTAAAGTTTTTTGTACCACAGTGTGCTTTGTTTCTTTTGTCATGACTTTCCCTTTATCATTTGTTTTGTCACAAAGTTTTTTATTCTGTATCATATTTAGGTCATTTTTAATCTTTTATCATTMAGTTTAATAACCTAACTTTAGTATAACTTCACAATAAGAGCCCCTTGATCATATAAGTGTTTGAATGCATTATAAGTAGGTTTGTCTTAAGTTTGCAACCACTTCCTAAACATTACCAATCATTAAACCATATAAAACACTGTTCATACATCAAAGCAGACTCATTAACTGGCACATTAAAAAAGTATATACCCAAATAGTAAGCATGCTTCAAAAACTGAGTGTTACATATGTATTATAAATAATTGGTAATGCTTTATAAAATAGTAAAATAACATTTATACGTGGACTAGTAGTAGGAAGTGCTGCCCACCTTTTAATATTTCTAAATAAAACCTATGAATAGAGTATTAACTGCACTCATATAAGAACAAAAGTGTTTAAAAATATCTGCAATTTTCTTTAACATCTCCAAAAATTGACAGATGATCATCAAAGTTCAGTTATATTTCAAAGTGTTGACCGCTAAAATAAGCCCTTCTGTATTGAGATTTAAAAATAATGTTGTAGTTTTATAATTCAAACCGTGTGTGTGTGTGTTTCCACAATGGTCTGAATGAAATCATTTGAGTTTGTTGTCCAAAAGAATTTAAAAAGAACCAAAAAAATCAAAGCTGTATTTTCTAAAGTGAAAYGACGACTCAATGTTTGAACTCCTTGAGGTTGGTTTTAGTCTAAAACATTGTTGGAAAAATGTAAAAAGGTTAAACAGACTTTGTTTTTTAAACACTTAAAAGAATTGCCATAAAAATTTGTTTTTGATTGGTTTATTGCAGGGCTATTCAACTAAACTGCTCTGGGGGCCAACAGTTACTGCAGGCCATTAGCTGAGGGGCCGAACATCCAGCAATTAAAGTCATTATGTAARTAAACCAAGTATTACAAAGATCTGTTACCTTTGAAATAGTTTATTTTGCTGCATTTAATCATGAAGACAACTTACAGAACCCTATGTAATAAAAGTAGTGATATTAAAACAACAAAAACAAAAATAACATATTATGCCTCTGTTTTGACATTTCTGACTTGCCAAGTTTTTAAACCATTTTCATTTTCACTTTCATAGTTTTATTTTCAACTGCTTGTAATTTTAACTGTCTTGGGTGTTCATTGAAATGTTTTTTTTACCATATTGTAGGCAAGATTCTGACGTTTCTGTAGATACCACACGTTTATGTCTAACTAAAACAACTTATAGTAATTAAAGTGTAAACCCAGGGATTTGGACTTAAGAGGTGAATGAACCAATTGGCGGGCCGAACGTTGGTCACTCGCCGGCTGGATGTTGAATAGTTTATAGTCTAGTATAGTTTATAATAGTTTATTGTCATTTTTGTCCATCTAACACACAGAGCTGGATGCTGATGAAAATTCTGACCATTAGGTCTTATTTTTCCCAGTTTCTTTGATTCCTGTATAAATGTTGTAACATGTAAAATATCTGTGTGGGTTAATAATGTTTCTTTTATATATATACTCACATTTTACTGAAAATTACAACTTATC